ATCCTACGATTTTACGATTCGATTATACGATTTTGATTTTACCCCAGTTTTCGATTTTAGGTAAAATCTCGATTTTAACTGCTTTGCCCATCGCAGCCTCTCCAAATCTTCCTATTCTACTCGCCGGGTCATTTCCTCCACTACAAAATATCTCCTCATGTACTCAAAGTTCTCACTGAAACCTAATATCTACAACTTAGGCGCAGAGGGAGCAACCGATGGATTGTAGCGACCCCCACTATTTTGATAGCTAATCAAGAAGAGCGCGTTTGTTTAGTTGTATGGTGATTCACTTAATTAACAATTTTTATTCCGTTGACAGCCTCCTCTCCGCAATTGTATTGTGTTCACGAAGATCTGAAGGCGCAAGTGTAACAGGTCCAGGGGTAAACAATATGTATAAAGCGTTGGCCAAATTGAATTGAGTCATTCTACTTGGAATATGAAGATTTTTGCTTAATTGCTTTGGTTCGTGATGCAACTATGTTATGTTTGAAGGTAGACCAACGCAAACAACAGCACAGTTCCAGGGCTATTCTGCACATTAGGTAGTTGGGGCATTAATTGATAATTATTTGGGATTATTCCTACAAGTACATAATTTGGAACGTGCCATTATATTGCATTGATTAATAGTTGTTTGAGATTTTTCAAATGAGTGATTTGACATGTTAAACTCTCTTATTTTTTAAAATGGAGTCTTCGAAGTGGAATATGAAGATTTTGGATTAAGCTTGGTTTCGTAACGCCCTTATGGGTGTTTATTCTCTAAAATTCTGCTGTCTTTCAAAGTGCCCGTTGCAAATGGCAAGTCAGGATACAACGATGGTACCGGTACACGTTTATATCATTAGTAGGTAGCAGATTGTGTCCATTCTACTATATCATTTAGCTAAATACTTAGTTGTTCTTTTCAACTAAAAATTATGCTTAAATGCTGTGATTGGCCTCAGAAATGTATGTCTTTGCATTAACTGTTAATGATTGTGAGTTTTGGTTTAATGGTGAAAAGTCCATTTATTTAGAAGTCTAAATTGGGCAAACCTATTGGACAATAGGAATGTCATACATTAGTGTCGTGGGAGGTTTGTTTGATGTCTCGGGGTGTTAGATTTTTAAGAAGGTTGTTTGTTGTGGCAGAGAGTCCCTAAAGCTAGCGAGGTATTCCTATGTGGGCTTTTTCTTTGTTTGACTTTTTCTCGCCTTTTTTCTTATCTCTTTTTCTATTTTTGGTTTTTGTGTGCTACCTTCAGTTGCTACGTCTTCATTTGTGAGCCATCTATACTTTTCTTATTCAGTGCCTAAAAATCATATATACTCGATTGCATAGTAGTTACTAATAGATACATTTATACCAATAGAGAGATTTTAAGTTTTATCAGTTTTTAGTTTTAATATTTACTTAAATTGGTTGTTTATGTAGTTTTCTTTGTAATATTTCTCATTATACAACTAATTACTATGGCTACGTAGTTGTATAAGTGGGGGTTGGACATGATAGTTCTTAGAAGCATCAATACTTGAAGGTTATTATAATGACCAAATTCTAAAGTTATGGTTTGCCTTGAACTTGCTTGGAGCATTTCAATTATGCATCAATTGTTCTCTCCGTGTAGTTAACTCTCAGACAAATCGAAAATCTTGCTGATATGTGCTTGATTGTAGTTAAATTTAGGGTTCTACTGCATTGTTGCTTTACTCTTTTTTCGTGGTTGAGTCTGCTTCAAAAAATTTAGTTTGATTTTAGAAAATTTTGCTTCTGCAGTCCTGTCTTGCCACCAACGCGTTCAATAGATGGAGACGGGAGAGGCGAAGGCTATTTTTGTGTTGTTGTTGCTGGTTTAGGGATCGGTTTGTGAAGAAGAGGGAGAAGAGAGGGGGAAAGGGAAATGCAGGAGAGGGGGATAACTCTTTTCTCCGACAAAAATGGAGTGAAGAAAGGAATTATGATCAGTAAGAATATGGTTATCTTACATAACGGTCTCTATTCTGTTTGAATTGAGCTTGAGAGGCAGTGATAAGGACGAGCTGCAACCAATTCATAGTGAGAAGAGAGCTATGAACTGTGATCATGTCTTATTTCAAGTTAGAAGGTAGTTTCAGTATAAGGATTATTTAATTTGACAAGTTGTTTCGTCCATGATTCTTGGTAGTTTCAGTGCCATTCTAGCCAATGTTTAGTCTGTAATTTTTGAGAATTGATGTGCGAGTAATGACTTTCACTTAGCTTCAACTATTATGTGTGTATTTATTGGCATGTGATAGAATTCTCTTTTCCTTTTCATTGAATTCATTTTCATACTCTAATTGTATTATTTGTACATAGGCAAATCATGCTCGAGATGGCAACTCGTTGATATGGCTGGTGCAAGGAATGAAGCCATCATTAGAATTCAGACCGACAACTGGGAGGGATGCCCAGGACTAATCCAATGATGATTGATGATGGTATAATATAAACTGCAGTCTGCATCAGCACCAATTTCTAGGCCTAAGTAAAGATATTCAACCCAGAACTCTGCTTAGCGCTAAAAATTGCCCTCACCCAACCTTGATCCTGTTTGACCCACTTCTGAAGAGTCAAGATATATGACTAATCCTCCCCGTTCGTATTTTCTTATTGACTCTTTCTGACCCTGTAGGTTGGGGCGGGTCGGGAAGAATTGGATTAGTGGGTCGGTCCTAATCAAGTGAAATCCCAATCCCTTCACTCTCACTTGCTTTCTCTCCCATTCCACAAGTGGGTAACATACAGTAATCCGACCAACGGGCCGGGTAATAAGCTAGTTATTTGTATAGTGTAGTGAAGGGGAGATTAAGAAATTCGAGAGGGCGTGGACATGGTTCCACAAACAAAAAGTATCGCCCAACGTTAAACTTTGATTTTAAGAGTAGATTAAGTCGGATTGGACAGTTGGATCGACGACGCCATGAAAATTTTGATAACTTGACGAGATAAACAATCACACAACACAAACGATATATGTGATTTTCCCGTTCAATGTTAACGAGACTACTCCACGAAGAGTTAGAGCTCTCAGCCAATCTTATTATTATTGTTGGGGTTTTCTTTATGCACCAATATGCCTTATATACACCTTAGACCCCTCACAAGCAGCTAGGGCTCGGGGTTTAACCAAATCACAAAGGGGAAATTTTCTGCAAAATCCAAATAATTAAACAAAAGCATTGCATTTTACATAGGTCTCATCTAACGAGCTTCATCTCGCGGTCGTGAAATGAGACTGTGAAATTGTCTATTCTGTGAATGCCTATTTTACTTGTCTCACGACCGTGAAACCTGGCCGTGACATGACATGAGCTTGTCCGGCAATATGATTCATTACAATACAATGAGTCGTGTGTGTGTGTGTGTTTTTTTTTTCTCAGGGAATACGCTAGGGATGGCAATGGGTCGGGTCGGGTCGGGTCGGGGGCGGATAGTGCATATCTGTTACCCTACCCAAAGTACTTCGGGTTTTACCCATACCCACATGTGAAACGGGTAGAAAATCAAAACCATGCCCATACCCATTCGGGTTTCGGGTATCCACGGTTATCCATGGATATTAATTTCTCTTCATAACTCCAACCAATATGTTAACATTCACACGTATTCTTATATTAAGCAAGAGAAAAAGTACGACAAGAATTCACTATAATGAAGAAAATTAACTAAAACAACACAATTTCATGAAAATGTTATATTTATATGCTAAATATAAAATATGTTTGAGAAAAATAATGATTATTTCTAGACAAAATACATATGCATGTGTATAATCGGGCGGGTTCGGGTCGGATAGTGAGAAATCCATGCCCACCCATTACCCTCAATATTCGGGTTCGGGTTTTACCCATACCCACTAAATGTCCTTCGGATTCGAGTTTTACCCTACCCGACTAGGCCGGATTCGAGCGGATATCCACGGTTACGGATATTTTTGCCATCCCTAGAATACTCACCTCTTATTTGGTTTGGTGTACACGGCTAATTAATTAGAAAGCAAATTTCATTGAAATGATAACATAGACTTTGTATGAATTAGAGAGAGAGAGGGTTGGAGGTGCAGGAGGATAGACTTAGAAGATAAGCCATGAATTTTACTTCCAAGTTTCTTGTCTACCAGCCTCCCACCACCGCCCCAATCTACACGTCTCTCTCTCTCTCTCTTCTTTCTTTATCCTCTTCCCTCGCAAGATTAGGATCCCGCGTCAATAATTAAACTATTCTAACACGCAAGCAATGGGAGAAGTAACCATGGGAGAAGTACCATAAATCCCAAGGGATCAACACATATATTTTATCTATGGATTAACCAGCTTCTTTTTCAGTGGCGTAATTACTGAAAATGACAATTCGATATTGCCAGTTTATTTATTTATTTATTTCAAATCTGGATATTGCAAGTTAATAATAAGACATGTTCAATGATTATAACCGGAACACTAAACACGGCTGTTCTAAGAATATATATATAATGGGAATAAACAGAAAAAGCCAAAAAAGGTAGCCCTCTGATTTACATTCCAAAAACACACACATAAACACAGAGGATCACCCGCGCTGCCTCACTAATCACCCTCTAATCTAATCCACCCTACATAAATAAAATGGTGAAAAGAAGAAAATAAAACACACCACCAGAGTGATCAGAGGGATTAACAGAGAAATGGGAAGAAGACAAAAAAAAAAGGGGGGAAATTACACCAGTACCCCTACCAGACGTCTGGATAAAACGTGAAAACAAAAGTAGGAGTTAGAAAACTACAATCAGGCGGCCGGAGGGAGGAGTGCATGAGAGCGAAATGATCATCCTCTCTCCTTCTCTGTTTCGCAAATTTAACTCCCACATTAATCCAATCCTGTTCATATAATTAGTACCGCCGAGTCTACGATACAGCTAATTAATTAATTAATTAGATCATTCCCCCCCCCCCCCCCCCCCCCCCCCAAAAAAAATTTAATAGTTAAAAAAAATGAATTAGGTCGCGTCGCGTTAATCTTCAAACCCGACCTTCTTCCAAACCGCATTTCTGACCTGCCTCAAATCCCTCCCTTTCAGAGTCCTCCCCGCCCCTTCATGAACCGACAACGACGCCCCTCGCCGCCGCGCCAAATACTCGTGCGGCGGAAGCCTCTCCGCTCCTCCGCCCGACGCCCACTCCTCCTCCTCCTCCTCGTAATCGTCGCTGTCCTCCTCCTCCTCCTCCTCCAGATGATCGCCTAACTCGCTCATACTAATATCCACCTCCGCCGCCCTCCTCCGCCGCCGCCCACCGTAGCTCTCCTCCTTGTAAATCTTCGACCAGTCCGGTATGTTCAGCGGCAGCGACGCGCTCGTCGGCACCGCCGCTGATCTGAGCCCCGCCGCCGCCGCCGCCGCCGGCAGTCTCTTGTTGCCGCCGCCCTTCGATCTCGACCGGTAGTGATTGGCGCCGCCGTCGCCCGACGACGACCAGACCACGTCGGACTCCTCGAATTCGAAAACACTCTCCGGATCGATCTCCACCTCCGACCCCGCGAAAATGTTGCTGCGGAACAGCTTCCCTGACCTCGCCGCCATTTTCCGATCTAGCAGTCGATTAGGAAAAAAAAAGATTAGACCGGAGAATGAATAAACCTTTGTTTCTGGGGGAAGGGAAGGGAAGGGAATTGGTGTTTGAAATGGGGAGCAGGCAGCTGAGTAAGTTATGAAATAGGAGGAGGCCGTAGTAGTTTTAGGGAGTGAATTATTAATTAATGTCGCTTTGGGGAAAATGGTATTATAATAATAATACCATTTTCTTATCAAGCAAATGGATAAGCATTGTGCTTTTCCGTTTTCTTCTCTCTCCTATTACTTCCTTTACTTTTTTACCATTTAGGGAGTGAATTATTAATTAATGTCGCTTTGGGGAAAATGGTATTATAATAATAATAAGAAGAAGAATAACAGATGAGCTGTGGTGGTGTGAATTGTGAAACGAAACATTTTTCATTTTTCTATCTAGTCATATCATTCGATGATCCTGGCCGTCTAATGGGATGACCGCCCGCAGATTTAGCTGACAGGAGAACGCCACGTAAGAAATGGTGGGTCCCAATGTAATTGTAATTAAAGTGACACTCAGAACATGTTGATATGACTTGAATCGGACTATCAGCCGCTACGACTGGTAATCGGGGGTCTCGCTGTTGGATTAGGTTATTTGGGTTCGGGTTCTGGGCCTGGTCTGTAACCGTTTCCTTTGCTAGATTGGATTAGGTTTAGACCCACATGGAGAAGTACTATAAATACTTCTCATACTACTCTGTAATCTGTAATCTCCTCAGATATAGTAAAACTGGCTCTCTCTCGCCCGTGGACTAGCTAACACACATCGTGTTAGTGAACCACGTAAATCGTATGTCTGTGTTCTTTCGATTCTCGCTTTCGTATTCTTGCTTTGTCGATTCCAGCGATTTCCCGATCCGTAGCAGCGCGTTTATAACAAGTGGTATCAGAGCCGCGGCTGGAAATCAGGCTAGGGTTTTCGATTTAGAAGAATGACGTCGGTGAACATGAAGATCGAAAAGTTCACGGGGAAGAATAGCTTCGCTATATGGCAGATCAAGATGCAGGCTTTACTAAAACAGCAAGGGCTGTGGGGGCCGCTGTCTGCGAAACAGAAGAAGGCAGCGGTCGATGACGATGAGTGGAATACCCTGGAGGAGAAGGCCCACTCGACCATCATGTTATCGTTGTCTGATGATGTCATCATTAAAGTCGCTGCTGAGAAGACTGCCGCGGGCTTGTGGTTGAAACTAGAGAGTCTGTACATGACTAAGTCTCTAACCAACAAGCTGCATCTCAAGCAACGGTTGTTCAGCTTGAGGATGCAAGAAGGTACGCCTTTGAGGGAACATCTCGAACAACTTAACTCTATTTTGCTGGATCTGCGTAATATAGATGTTCAAGTTGATGACGAGGATGCTGCCCTAATCCTGCTGGTTTCTTTGCCGAGTTCATATGAGAATTTCGTTGATTCTTTTATTGCCGGTAAAGAAAGCGTGTCGTTGGAGGATGTCAGGTCTGCTCTTCATACGAGAGAGATCAGACATAAGGCGTCCGGATCTGGTACAGGTGGTGAGGCATCGGGTTTGGCTGTTACAGGTGGAAAGGGAAAGAAGAAATCTGGTAAAGGGAATTCGAGCAAGAATTCCAAGGGTCCCGGTCCACAGCCAGGTGATGCTTGTCACAACTGTAAGGAAGTGGGGCATTGGAAGTACAACTGTCCCAAGAGAAGAGGGCAACAGAAGAAACAAGGTTTAGTTGCCGTGGCAGAAGTGGACAACAGTTCTGAAGACGATCTCGCCTTGGCTGTAGATGAGAAGGCACATCGTGGTGATGTGTGGTTTCTGGATACTGCAGCCTCATATCATATGTCTCCGAACAGGGATTGCTTCACAACCTACGAGCAGATAGATGGTGGTAACGTGGTCATGGCTAATGGAGCTGTCTGCAAGGTTGTTGGAATCAGGTCCATAAAGGTTCGGACACATGATGGTTCGTTCTGTCCCGTGAATGATGTCAGACATGTTCCACGAATGACGAAGAACCTGATCTCCTTGAGTCTACTCGACAGCAAGGGCTTCAGCTTCAAAGGAAAAGGTGGAGTTGTGTATGTCTGCAAGGGTTCGAGGAAGGTACTGAAGGGCGTGAAGCGTGGGACCTTGTATGCATTACAAGGGTCTGTGTTGTCTGGTTCTGCTGCAGTTGCATCGTCTCAGGTTCAACAGGAAGATATGACCACTCTCTGGCACATGAGACTGGGGCATATGAGTGAACGGGGGATGCAAGTTCTATCGAAGAGGGATCTTCTTTGCGGGCACAAGGTGCAGAATTTGGAATTCTGTGAGCATTGTGTGTTTGGGAAGCTACATCGCAGCAGGTTTCCCAAGAAGGGTATCCACCGGACGAAGGGGGTACTGGATTACCTCCACTCCGACTGTTGGGGTCCTTCACGAGTTGAATCCATTGGAGGCAGCAGGTATTTTCTGTCTATTATTGATGATTATTCGAGATTTACTTGGATTTTCATGATGAAGCAGAAAAGTGAGGCTTTCACGAAGTTCAAGCAGTGGAAGACATTGGTGGAGAATCAGACCGGGAAGAAGATCAAGAAGCTGCGAACGGACAATGGTCTGGAGTTCTGCAGTTCTGAGTTCAACGAATTCTGCAAGGATGAAGGGATTGCCCGTCATCGGACTGTTAGAGATACACCCCAGCAGAATGGCGTTGCAGAAAGAATGAACCAGACATTGTTGGAGAGAGCACGGTGCATGCTCTCTAATGCTGGACTAGAGAGAAGATTCTGGGCAGAAGCAGTAAACATGGCGTGCTTCCTGATCAACCGTGGACCACACACAGGTATCAAGTGTAAGACTCCTTATGAAGTGTGGTATGGTAAGCCTGCTGATTACTCTTCACTGAAAGTGTTTGGGTGTCCTGTTTATTATCATGTGGATGAGGGTAAACTGAACCCAAGGGCTAAGAAGGGTGTATTTGTGGGTTACGGAGATGGAGTTAAGGGATTTCGAGTCTGGTCACCTTCTGAGCATCGAGTTATACTTAGTAGAAATGTGATATTTGATGAGAAGTCTATGTTTAACCCCATGTTGAAGGTCACTATTGTTGAAGGTAGCAGGAATGTTGATAAGCAGGTGGAGCTGCAAACTCTCAATGAGAGTGAGTTTGAGCACCAAGGTGGAGAAGATCAACATGATGAGGATGTCTCTGCAGAGCCAGAAACTTCAGAATCCAGTGCACGAGCTCAACAGTCTATGGCTTCCGGTAGACCGAAGAGAGCGACTGCAGGAGTACCTCCACAGAGGTATGGCTTCGAGGACATGGTGGCGTATTCATTTCAGGTTGCTGAGGAAGTGGATGCAGGAGAGCCACAGTCCTACAGAGAAGCAGTTTCGGGTGGTGAAGCTGATCAGTGGCTTGCCGCAATGGGAGATGAGATGGAATCCCATGAAAGGAATCAGACTTGGGAGCTAGTCAAACGACCACAGGGAAGGAAGATTGTTACAAACAAGTGGATCTACAAGAAGAAGGAAGGAATCACTTCTAAAGAGGGCATGAAATTTAAAGCTCGGGTGGTTGCACGAGGCTTCTCGCAGAGGGAAGGAGTTGACTACAATGAGATTTTCTCACCAGTGGTCAGACATATTTCGATCAGAGTGCTACTAGCAATAGTGGCACATTATGACTTGGAGCTCGAGCAGCTAGACGTGAAGACAGCTTTCCTACATGGAGAGTTGGAGGAAGAAATTTACATGACTCAGCCAGAAGGATTCGAGGTTCCGGGAAAAGAAGACTATGTTTGTAAGCTGAAGAAGTCCTTGTATGGACTTAAGCAATCTCCGAGGCAGTGGTACAAGAGATTTGACAGTTACATGCTTGAGCTGGGCTACAACAGAAGTCCATATGATTGTTGTGTATATCACAGCAAGGCAGAGGATGGTTCGATGATATATCTAGTTCTGTATGTGGATGATATGCTCATAGCTGCGAGGTCAAAGTCTGATATCCAGAAGTTAAAGGGGCTTCTCAGTGCTGAGTTTGAGATGAAGGATTTGGGAGCTGCTCAGAAGATCTTGGGTATGGAGATTTACAGGGACAGGTCGAAGAAGAAGCTTTTCTTGTCACAGAAGAGCTACATCCAGAAGATAATGTCGAGGTTTGGCATGTCTTCAGCAAAGCCCTTAAATACTCCTAGTGCTTCAAATGTTCATCTATCCTCGGCTTATGCACCGCAGTCAGAGGCTGAGAAGGAGTACATGTCGAGAGTCCCATATGCTAGTGCAGTAGGTAGCTTGATGTACGCTATGGTATGCACTAGACCTGATCTTGCACATGTTGTTAGTGTTGTTAGCAGGTTCATGATACAACCTGGAAAGGAGCATTGGCAGGCTGTGAAGAGGATCTTCCGGTACCTTAAGGGTACACCTGATGTGGGAATTAGCTTCGGAAGTGATACAGAGTGCTTGGTGTCTGGGTATTCTGACTCGGACTATGCTGGAGATGTTGACACGAGGAGATCGATGACCGGTTATGTATTCACTCTTGGGAGTTCTGTAGTGAGCTGGAAGGCAACTTTGCAGTCGGCGGTGACATTGTCTACTACTGAGGCAGAGTATATGGCGTTGACAGAAGCTGCTAAGGAGGGAATATGGTTGAAGGGACTGGTTGGTGATCTTGGTCTACATCATGATCAGGCAGTGGTGTATTGCGACAGTTTGAGTGCAATATGCTTGGCCAAGGATCAAGTCCACCATGAGAGGACTAAGCACATCGACGTGAGGTATCATTTCTTGAGGACAGAGAAGAGGATTAAGGTGAAGAAGGTTGGCACCGCGGATAATCCTGCTGATATGTTCACGAAGCCGGTTCCACATGGCAAGTTCCAACACTGCTTGGACTTGCTGAATGTCTTGAGTGGGTGACTCCGCCCTACGGGGCATTGATGGCGGGAGAGAGAGAAGGAGCAGAGTACATCAGAGATTTCAGAGGAAGAGGATTCAAGTCAAGGTGGAGATTTGTTGATATGACTTGAATCGGACTATCAGCCGCTACGACTGGTAATCGGGGGTCTCGCTGTTGGATTAGGTTATTTGGGTTCGGGTTCTGGGCCTGGTCTGTAACCGTTTCCTTTGCTAGATTGGATTAGGTTTAGACCCACATGGAGAAGTACTATAAATACTTCTCATACTACTCTGTAATCTGTAATCTCCTCAGATATAGTGAAACTGGCTCTCTCTCGCCCGTGGACTAGCTAACACACATCGTGTTAGTAAACCACGTAAATCGTGTGTCTGTGTTCTTTCGATTCTCGCTTTCGTATTCTTGCTTTGTCGATTCCAGCGATTTCCCGATCCGTAGCAGCGCGTTTATAACAGAACAAAAATATTACTTGTTGGTTTGAAGGTTGGTTAGATTGAATATATATACTATATTTTGTGTATAAATTATTATTTATATTGAGATCGTTATAAGAATTCGAATGTGTGATTTCTTAATTGAAAATTTTGATACTATGTTAATGAACAAACTATTTAATACCATTATTTTGAATTATTAAAACAGATTGATTTTTGGAGATTTTGTTATTATTGTTTGGGATTTAATTAATTTTTGTGTGTATAGAATAGATAGAGCCAATTATTGGTGCAGCTCTAGCTCTAGTCTCTAGTGCTCTGCTAGGGTTAAGATAGGGACGAATTTATCCATTCAGCGAGGGGTGGGGAGGACACGTGTGCCAATCAAGGAGTGACGATGTAGCGCTACTGTTCAATTGGCTGGGTTGATGGATGCTGGTCGACTGGTGCTGGTTTACCAGACAAAAAATGAGGACCCAAAGCCCACACCTTTTCCTATTTTTGGTTGTCTATATAATATTCACCTATCAATATAACTAGCTTTAACTCGATCCGTCGGCCCGATTAGTTTGGTTACCGACTCGTACAGTGAGAGTGAGAGCAAGAGTGCAAAAACATATAACTCGATCCGTCGGCCCGACTAGTTTGGTTACCGACTCGCACAGTGAGAGTGAGAGCAAAGTTTAATAGCACATTCGATTGATTTGTTACGGATTTAATACATACTAAAATCACCTAAAATTGTTTTTGTTTTAAAATTTATTTATAGAGGAAAAAATAAATAAAAGTACACGCATCTCCTTCGCACCGCAACCCCCAAGTTTTGGGTCTCGATCCCATCAGTAATTATCGGTATCCCCTTCCTCTGTCCTTCACGTGTCAGCCTATACCTTTTGTTTAAATTAAACACGAAGGGGCAGTAGGGTAAATCGCATCCCTCCTATTTAATGCTCAGTGCTGACACTAACTTTTGACAAGATGTGAACCCCACTCCACGCCCCACCCGCGTTCCCCTCTCTCTCACTATTTGTTTTATTATTAAAAGAAAAATTACATTATTTCTTCTTTCTCTCCCATCTACAACTAAAGAGATGGAGAGAAATGTATTTTCTCTCTATACTCTAACTCTAAGTCTACAACAAAAATGAATCTAACCATCTCAACTATCTCAGCTCTTATTCCATACAATACCATATGGTAAAACATGCTACAGAAAATTACAAGTCCAACTACCATATAATACCATATGGTATAGCATACGAAAAAAATATTACAAACCGAACTAGATACAAATACCACATGGTATAATGTGGTAAAACACTCTACAAAAAATTATAAATCTAAGTACCATACAATACCACCATAGTAGAACATGGTAAATCGAATGATCATAAATTAATTATAATTACCATATAATACAACATGGTAGGAGAAGGTAAAACCATATAAAATAATATAAATCTAATTACAACCCTATACGACCAAATATAAACGTAATTTCTCAGAATTGGTGTCAATTACCACTCAATACCATATGATATATTCTGATAATATCGCAGGATACCACACAATAACATATGGTATAGTGTGGTAATATCAATATATATTTCGTTACCACACAATACCATATGATATAATGTGGTATTATCATTATCAAAAAAAAAAAAAAAAAAAAAATATAATGTGGTATTATTAATACATATTATCTATTTATTTTTATCTTCAAGTATATATTGCTGACATTAATGGAAATGATGGTCTCCAAAATCAAATCGGCATACCAAACATGCTAGTTGTTAGTTGTTACTGGATTTTATGTCAAACATCAAATATATGCAAAAAAAAAAAAAAAAAATCACTAACAAGAGAAGGAAGCAACAGACACATGATAGAACTGAGAACCTTAACACCAAAAAGCATAAATGAAAGTATGAAACAACCTAAAGGTTCACTCCCCCAGCTGCCACTAGCCACTGTACAAACATTCTCCAAATGCTGCAGCAATGCCAAAATGTTCAGTTCATCTATTGTTTACCTTCCTTCTCATTGTCCACCTGCCTGATCATCTTTTGTTGTAAATAGATATGGTATAAGGTTTTTTCAAAACTATGTTGGATACTTAAAGAAGAGCAAAACGCCTGTAGTATTAAGGGAGAACTCTATCGTGATTATGCTCGGAACAAACTCATCGACCTTGTACTTTGATTTTTTTTTTTGTAAAGAGGGTTCTTCTGTTCTTGAAAAGATGGAAAACTTCATTACTTCAATATATGTAATTACAATGTAATCCAAATATAATGCGTAGAGAGCCAAATTCCATAAATAATCCAATTTTATCTTCAACTATAGCTTCCCACCATACAAAACTAGATAGGAATCTGTCATGACTTAAACACCAAGCTCTTTAACACATTTCTACTGATGAGCCCAGCTCGCAATCATCATTAATGGGCAGAAGGGCCCTTGGCCCAACCAAGGCCCAAACGATAATTTCATAATCCCCAGTCCAGTCTGCAAAACCCTAGAGATCGGCCCCTGATTTAATCTCCTAACGCCAATTCACCTCCCATAAAGCAGCTGCGCCACCAAACAGCCTCGCTTCCCCCTTTCTCCCAAAACCCTACAATCCCCGACAGCCGCCGCAACCATGCCGCCGAAGTTCGATCCCTCTCAGGTGGTGGACGTCTTCGTCCGAGTGACCGGCGGTGAGGTCGGAGCAGCATCCTCCCTCGCTCCCAAGATCGGTCCGCTGGGTCTGTCACCGAAGAAGATTGGTGAGGACATCGCCAAGGAGACCGCTAAGGACTGGAAGGGATTGCGCGTCACCGTCAAGCTCACAGTCCAGAACCGTCAGGCGAAGGTGACGGTGGTGCCGTCGGCTGCTGCTCTTGTCATCAAGGCCCTGAAGGAGCCGGAGCGTGACAGGAAGAAGACGAAGAACATCAAGCACAACGGGAACATCTCGCTTGATGATGTGATCGAGATTGCTAAGGTCATGAGCCCTCGATCCATGGCGAAGGATTTGAGCGGAACGGTGAAGGAGATTCTGGGGACTTGCGTCTCCGTGGGTTGTACTGTCGATGGGAAGGACCCGAAGGATCTCCAGCAGGAGATAACCGACGGTGATGTTGAGATTCCCTCTGAGTAAAAAGGTTCTATTCGAGAGCAGGAAATGAAACTTTTATGTTCGTCCCCCTTTTTGCTCCCCCCATGTTTTATTTGTTAGTGTTTTCACTTTGTGAAATGTTACTACCTCTCAGTTTTGGATTGTTAAAGAAGTTGAAAGGTTTAGACGAATACCTTGAATTTATCTGAATGCTGGATCAATGGGTAGTGCATTCTCTGGTTTCTAACTTGGTGCTTGATGTGAATGGAGTCTCTGTTTGAGGTAATTGTGTTGTTACTTGTTTGCTATTGGGGTTGGAGATCTTTGCCATTAAGCATTGCTATTTGGTTGCACGCTCAGTTCTGATTCTTATTTTGGGTTGTCTCTGATTGCTTTCGTGTCTCTGGTATTAGGGTGCTAATGTGATGTAATTCACTGATCTCAGTCATAGAACCAACCCATATTATGGATTTTGTTGCTTGAAGGGTAGTAGGTATGTGTTACTGTTCGACCGCGCTGGATGATGTTCGGTAATAAAATTTGGATGTTGGTCCTGGAGACTGTTGTAATTTGTTCATGAGGGAATTATTCTCTGTAGGATTCAACTTCAGCTAAGAACGTCTATCGTAGAATTGGCTAGTTTTGTGTCTTTTAAAAGTAGTTTTATTAACCTGCTAAGTATGGGCTATCAGTAACCTTGTAGAGTCTTTGGCTGAAGACTCTTGCAGCCTTGACTTATGTTTTAGGTTTCTGGTGCAGTTGGATGGCAGTGTTAGTACAGGAGGGAGACAACAGACAAAGCTCTGTTTTGATGCTTGGTTAAGCACTTGGCAGAATCCCTTTGCTGTTGAATGAAATGTTGGTTACGTCAACTGAGCAAGGATATAGTCTTTGTTGCCTGTGGGTTGCAGTTGGTTTTGCGGAATGCTGTTTTTAGTCTCGGCAAATAAACTGTAGAGGTTGAATACTTTCCGGTCCGTTCATGGATTGTGATTAGATTGTTGTCCATGGCTGTGACTTGTCTTTGGGGTCGTGTCTCGTGTGCTTGCTGTATTTTATATGACAGTCTTTTGGGTGGTACGCTAGATGTTATGAACTTCCTACATGATCTTAGAATAAGTTGGGGTTCTTTATCGACATAATGAATGTGTATAGCGCATTCATTTGCTCTTATTCCAAACTCTCGTATCTTTCTATGACAAAAAAGAAAAGAAAAGGAAAAACCTCTCAAACCTTCAATCCAGTACTAGTAGGGGTATGTCCCTTGATGGCAAATTGGCAATGGGAGCAAGGCGCAGGGCTTGTAATGAAGAGACAATACTCATGGGGCAAATTGTGTATTCTTCTGGGGCTAAATTACACATTTAGTTACTCGAATTATATGAATCTTTCACGTATGCCACCCGAATTACTTTTCTTTCATACTCGCCACTAACTTTACTAATTGTTTCACCGTTAGTCACTGGCCGTTACACTCCGTTAAATTTGTCCTACGTGGCAGTCAACTATAAAGTTTGACTGTTAACTAGATGATGTGGAAATTAAAATAAAATAAAATAATTAATTTATTTGTCCACCTCATCATTCCACTTAGATTAATAATTTGTTCATCTCATCATCCGTTTTTATCATGTTATTTATTTAATAAAAAATAATTAAATTACAAAACAAATAATATTATTAATTTACTGGAATTCTAATTGAAGCCCTACATTTTAAATTCATCCACAAGTCCTACTGAAGACCCTTTTGCCCTTTTCCCCCAACCGAACCCAGAATCCACCCTCCCCCTGTCGAACCTCCCCTCCCCTTCCCCCAACTCCATAGCCGCCGCTGAACCCAGCTAACTCCCTAAATGAATCTCCACCCAAAACTACCCGCTGCTCTATGGCCGGACAATCAACCCCCATCCCTCAACAAATCATCGTCCTCAATCACCCACCAAATCCGACCCAATCGTCACTAGCCAAGGCTCTCACCCGATTCTACCCGATGACCCAAAGGTTGTCCAAATCTGCAGCTGACTCGCTTTCCATCTTCCGTTGTGACGACGAGGGTGTTCCGTTCTCATCGAATCGGAGGGTTGTCCAAATCTGCAACTCGACTCGCTCCACCAGTTCCTCCCCTTCCCCTCCCTCTTGATCCGCCAACCGTCGATCGTCGAATCGGCAGCGCATATCACATTCAAGGCCACCGTCTTCCTCTGTGGTGGCGCCGCCATCGGGACCGCGAACGCGGCTGTACAACGGCGTCCATCGGATCTTGACTGGTGGAGAATAAATTAATCATATTATTTGTTTTTGTAATTTAATTAATTTTTATTAAATAAGTAATATGATAAATCATATATACAAAGAGTGGAATGACAAGTGGATAAATAAATTGATTTTTTTAATTTTTTAATTTTCACGTCATTTAGTTAACGGTCAAACTTTATAGTTGACTACCACGTTGGACAAATTTAACGGAGTGTAACGGTCGATGACTAACGGTGAAACAATACGTAAAGTTAGTGGCGAATAAGAAAGAAAAGTAATTCTGGTGTCAAACGTGAAAGATTTATATAATTCGAGTGATTAAACTTGTAATTTAGCCATTCTTCTGGGCTGAGCGAAATGTTACAGCTGGGCATGAAAACGTGAGAAGCGAGCAACTGGCTGGGCTTCCTCCTCCGGCTGCTGCAACTAGCTAGTATCGTCCTTTGACGCGTATGGTGTATAGTACTGCTGTGGTTGTCAGCTTTGGCGTGCGTGTCTTTGCCTTGTCCGTCGGTGAACAGTACACAAACAAACGAGCACACACACGGTTTTGTTGCGTCCCTTCTCGAACTTTCCTAATAACTTGGGCTTACGTAGGTTTCCCGGAAGCTGATAAGCTCTTTCTCTCCCATAAAAATCTGGGTGCTTCCCTCCTGCCTCGATAAGACAATTGGCAGTGTCAGCATCACACTGCTTCGATATTTTCGTTTGGCAAACAATATATATAGTAAATGAATAATCAACACGTGGAACACTAACCCACCGTCCCACTGCTTTCTCTGGCTACTATACCAGTAGGTGGGGCTAAGTAAGCAAAGAAAGTGGAGAGGAACCAAGTATCTTCTCCTCCTGATTATTATCTGTCTTGTCTTCATCTCCAGCTTCCGCCTAGTATAAAAAAAGAGGGCCACTCACCCTTCTTCTTCTGTAGTGTTGTACCAAATATTCCTCTACCCTCCAAAGAAAACACCAGCTAGCTACCAAATCGCAGACTACAGAGTCCATCGTCGTCTCAAGTGAAGTGCAGTAGTGACAACAATGGTGAGGAAGGAGAGCAGCAGCAGCAGCAGCGGCAGGAGGGGTTGGGTGGAGGTGGCTCCGTCTCCTATAATCCGTCCTTGTAAACCCTCCAAAACTATTCCCAAGTCCCCCAGTTTGGATACCATCACTGAAGAAGAGCCCTCTCAAGATCCATCAAACCCTCCCTAACTTGTGCGGTTTCGCCCCCTCTCTTCTTGTCCTTTAATTTCGTCGGCCAATCATTGGATGGATGTATGCTGTTATAGTTGCTCATCCTGTATCAGAGTGGTATAAGATCCATACGGTTTATGACACCTTCTTTTATGTATTCTCCCTTGGTCATGGTGGAATTAATCATTACACATAAATGGATCGAGGAGTTCATGTCACTGCCTCGATGGGTTTATTGTTAACGAAAGTTAGAAATAAGATTACCTTAACCAAAAAACAGAGCGATCTAGACTCACGTTGATATCTGTCCAGACCAGATCATCACCAAGTTATGATTGTCAATCCTTATGTGATGCAAAAATATGCCAAGCACTCATCGCATACCATTTCAACGTTTCATCCTTATTCGACATTCACTCGGAATTTATAAAGGTTAACGATAATTTTTGCGAGCAGATACTTTAAAACTCTGCCTATTCCTATTGAGGAGGAGCAGTCACATGTCTCATTGTGATTTGCTTCCTTAGGTGTACAAATTAGGCCATGTTTTGGAGCTTAGACAATGTTACTCGTATCACAACTCCACTCTAGTTTAATTAAGAGAACAATTTAACAATTTCAAAAAACCAACCAGCATAGTTGTAATGAAGCAAAAGCCGACAACAGGCTTGTAACTTGACTAAACACTAGTTAGAATAGAAACCCAAAATAAAAAAAATTTGCGTTACCGAATTTGGACCAACAACATACTAGGTCGTTCTCTTCAAAACATTTCTGGTATTGCATTGTATTATGCACAATAAACCATTGGTCGATCGTTTTCAAGATGAAGAGTCACTTCCCAGCTCTTAGTTTATGCGAAAATCGTAGCTTTTGAGGAACACCCTCTTTCGTGTTTTTTACTTTCTAAATTGTGTACCTATAGGGTCTAGGAGGTTTGCTATTTAAAGGGGCAGAAACCCCCTGAGTTTCTTTTTTTTTAGTTGGGAATAAGTCATATGATTAGAAAAGATAATTATTGTCTTAAGTAACTCCAGTTAATTTGGTCAGATTATTATTCCGTCATTAATTACTCTTCCTTATTTCTTATTTTCAAATCAGGAAAGGATTTCAGATAATGAATTCAAAATTTCACCAGAAAAATTATAGTCATAAGCCAACCAACCCAATTTACTCACTTCACTTGATCGACTGGTTGGTTGACGTGTGCATGTATGTGGTTGGAATGTCATTTAGTTCCTCCATCTTTCACAAAAAATGAATCAAGTTTGAAGACTCTCTAAATACACGTTTTATAAGTGTTCACCCACATGACACTTCCTTTCAACTCCAAACAACACCAAGCACAATTGACATGCGACGAGGTGGAATTTGGGGCCGTCCAAACTCCAAGGGATGCAGCAGCCAAGCCAAAGACAACCAGCAAAGTGTGTGTCGCCTAGGCGTCCACGTTTTCCAATTCAACCAAAGCCGTCAGTAGTGGTAGGGCCCTCCTTTCTCCCAGTCCAGTAACATTCCGTCACGTGTTACACGGATGCTAACCACATACCCATTTTTGTTTGCTTATTAGTTAACCATTGTTGATTAGGGAAA